CAGAATGTATTTAAATCTGGGTTCGGGGTATCTCACTTCAACTTGTTTTTATTTATTGTTGGTAGTTTTGTTTATGAGCTAGCAATAAATGCACTGAACATAAATGTGGCATTCTGATAATCCCCAAAGATGCCACGCATCGTTGTTGAAAGGAAAGGGGAGAGGTGGTGCTTGCTTACTCATCAACTCATCGAGTTTACTTTAAATTGTCAGCGTCAACGTGTCCTTGTCACACGAGTCGTATGCTTAATTTTTTAACTTCTGCTTACTGCTGGCTTTTGCTTCGCATGGTTTCAGGATTCTGTATTTTATACCCTTTGCATGCAAGCAGATAGATACACCCCACCACCCTTAAGCCAAATAAACCACCCGTCGTGGGACCGCCCATTGTGATTGCTGCCCACCAACAAGAGGAGTGCGGCCAAAGACGATTTCGGCTAGGATTGTCAGTATTGCCAGACGTAGGACTTGACCACTTGACCGGCTTGGCAATAAACTTGTAAGTGCTTAAAATAGACTCGAACTCGAGTGTGGATCGTATAAATTGTTAGGTTGTGCGCCTCCCAGCCTCAGGCTTATAATAAAGTGACCGGTTGTCTGTGTGGGATGCGCTGAGGGGAACTCTGAGGGGGCTGGGGCTGGGACTGGCTGGGCGTGACAAAAGGAGTGTAATTTCAGCAGAGTAGACTGCCAGTCAGCAGGTGATGATTTTTGACTTGTGCGTGGTTGTTGAACTGCTTTAAATGGGGCGTGCGATTATACGTGTACGGTATTTATTAGCCAGTTAATCGACTTGGATTTGGGGTTTATTGGATTGACTTAATTGAAATAAATGTGAGATAAGTATTTACGTGAGACGGAAATATATACGGAAGCTCACGTGGCTTTAAATCACTTGAGACAATGTAGAAATATTATTGATCAAATGAATGATGAATATTAGATAAAATGCATTTTCTGTTAGCTTAACCAAAAAAGAAGAAAGATTCTAAACCCTTATACGAGATAAGGGTAGATCGTAGCTTGTCTGCTTTGTTTACGTCCTGCTGGGAACTCAATATTTTTTTGTTCATAAATAATTTAAATAAAAATGTTCGTTTTACTTTATTAAATTCTATTGCCAGAAAAGTGAATTGCACATATTTTATTATTATAAATTAAAATCGGTCAATTACAATATAAGCATAAATTGTTTTACACAAATTTATATAAATTATCCAATTACTTATTATTTTTTATTAGAACTGATGCTGTAAACTCTAGAGGAAATATGCTGACAAGACGATAAGTGGTTGGCGAATAAGTCCAAAGTTTGTGAAATGTGCTGACGAGGCACAAGTGTCATGTGACGTTTGATATAGCTTGTTATTAGTTCGAGTGCTTATTTAAACGGGTGGGTTATTTGTAAACATTGAGTGCGTATGTTATTTGCACTAATAGTACTTAATTTCGATATATTTTATTTACGTTTTACACAAATATTAATACGGATTTGATCTGAATTTTGCTTAATCAAAAAGAATGTACGAGTTTAAGACTAAATAATTGAGAAAGAGGGACATCACTATATCGCCTCGGCTAGTAATGCTGATGCATACCGAGTATATATAAAAACTATTTTCAATTAATTTCAAATTTTAAAACAAAATAAATATATATACGTGAAATATTAGAAATAGCTCTTGGTCCAATGCCAGCATTTGCAGAAGTGCTTGATTACTTCTGGCCACAAATCCCTCTTTTGCCTACCATTGAGAGGACAGGTCCTTATATCGAATCGACCAGTATTTTATGGTGCTTATTGTTTCCCAAAGTATCACCCCTAAGTTGATAAGTTCTTATTTATCAACAGTGTGTATTTACAGTACATTTTCACACTTGAATGCCAAGCACATGCTGGTGAAAAGTGACATTCGCATGATTTCGTATTGTATCCATAATTCCTTTATAGGTATTTATATATTTAAAATGCATGGCAAGCTGGCAGCAGCATACGTTGTCCTGGTGACAGCTTTCGGTTCGGGGATGTCAGTGCCGGCAGCAGACGACGTCAACGGGGGGTGTGGCGCCTCAGTCAGGCGACAAACGTGCTCATATTAAAAAAAAAATATACAATGTACTCAGAAAAATATCGCTTTTAATTAAAAAGCGGATTAAAAATTAGAAAATAAAATAAATAAATAAATCATTTCTAAATATATCAAAATAATATAATAATAATAGAAAAAATGTCGAAAAAGAAGAAATGCATAGCATTTGAAAAAAACGTTAAAAAATGTAATATTTTTAAAAATTTAGGTCAATTTTAGTAAAATTTAAAAAATGAAGTTGTAAAAAAATGGATTTAAAAGTCCAAAATGTCATGGTACAAATTGCCTTGCAGAACAATTTATATATTTATTTACTTAGTTAAAATAATTGTATTAATTTATTTTTTCATAACTTAATAGTTTTAAGCATTGGCTTAAATTACTCTAAGAACAAGCTGATTGAAAGTTACAAATATTTCTGAAAACTTCAAGTAATTCAAATATTATTTTAATTGTCGCTAAGTGCCAAGATTTAATTTTTAATTTTTATTAATTATATTAAATTTTGAAGATATTTCTATTGTTAACATGGAATTAAATATATTTCTTATTTATATTTATATTTCGAAGTTATTTCTACTTGAAAACACGAATAATAATTGAGTGCGATACGTACTAGGTCATATATTTTGCCGAGTGTAGCCTTAGAGACAAAAGTAGGCACTCGTGTGTGTGTTTTGGCTGCCCCATAAGTGCCCTCATGCTTATTGAGTGTCAATTTTTATGCCGTTAATGTGTGTAAGTATATAAGTTTTGTGTGCGTGAGTGGGTGGATGAGTGTGTGTGTGTGTGAGTGTGTGCGAGTGTGTGTGTGCGTGTGTGTGTGAGTGTGTGTGACACTGATTGTGTGCGCTAGATTAAGCTTCCTCCTCTCTGCTGTGCGTGTTGTTCTTTTCCGCAATTTACGATTAGCAAGCATCCCCCACATTGTATTTCTTCCCACACCAAACGTAAGTTGCCCCCAAACTTTGCACCTTGACGTTCTTTTTTGGTTCAGTATTTACATTTGTGTCTCGAATCGTTTTATTTATTTGCCACAATAAACACCCAATCCCACACACTCACAGCCTCCCAGCACACACGCACACACTCACACACATACACACAGCTTCCCTCCATTGCTGACTACTACTTGCTCCCATATGTTTTATATGCCTTTGCCATTATTATTATTGCGCCACATGCGTGTGTGTGTGTGTGTGTGTGTGTGTGTATTTGGTGTATATGGCTTATTTGTTTGTGTGTGTGTTTTGTTATTATATCCATTCATTATGGCTTTCCTTATTGTTGGTGTTATTGCGGTTTTTAAGTGTCGTCTCTCAAATTAATGTATTAATGGCCGTTTAAATAAGAAATGAATAACTTAATGCCATTACAAGTATTTTATTTTCATGGCAAACACACTTAATTCACACCTTAACAAAACACTTAACTAACAAACTTAGTTGTTGACAACTTTGGCTTATGTTTTTGGCACAACGGAAATTTAAACAAAAGGTGCCACAGTATCTGATGTCGAGTTCCACGTGTCACCTAAAATACGCCTTTGAAATGTATTTGTGTGTATTTCGCTGTAAATCTGGCTGAATAACAAAGGTAATCGCTATAATGAAATGAAGATATTTTATTGTTCAAGGGTTATCGAATTACCTGTGCATAACATCAAATTAAATGGCCAAGGCAAAGGGATCTCGATGCCATACAATGGAAAAGAAAAATTAAAATTATCTGTAATGGTTTTGATAACGAAAAGTTACATTTTCCGATTTTATGTGGAAACTTAAATTTTCCTTAATCAGACACAATTTGCGGTATAAAACTTGTACTGCAAACTCAAGCCACGCAATTAGGCTAATTAAAACGCATTTGCATAGTTGATAGCCACTTTGGCAACTAATTGGTAACATAGTAATTTCGTGTGATATCAATTGCATATTTCAATTGTTGGAAAATTCGAAAATTTAAATTCAGAACGTTGAAATGACAACCGCAAATAAGCAATGTCAAGTGTACCTTTTGGACGGTTAATAAAGCCACGAGTAAACGCTCACCAAGTTGCCCCAGATGACAACTTGACGTGGCAGCTGAAGCATCATCATCGTCAACCGCATTCTCATCATTATCCACAGCTTCAGCTTTCACTCCACGCAAAGCGGGTTTTCCCTCCTTATTTTTAATAAGCATCTAGAGAGAACAGCTTTCTTTGGCATGCGGAAGTTTAGATACCTTTGCAGAACAGCTAAATTTAATTATTAAATTAAAGTAATCCATTTGCAAGCTTTGTCTTCGTAAGCTTATATAGATAAATACATATATATTTTAAAGGTTCACATATCCTTCGATGCTTTGTGAACTGCACATCAAAATGATATACCCTCTGCAAATACCAAATATGAGCAACCAAAAGGCATATCCTGGTTGCGAAGCTGACAACCGGGAGTTGGGTTGATTCGTCCCCCTTGTTGTCAACGCTGTTCCTGTTTGTTGTTAATGCTGGCGCAATTTCATTTATGACTCCCACACAGAAATATAAAGTAAATTAAATATATGCGTTCAGTTTGAGTTAAAGGCTACTTGGCCGGAAATTGTGGTAAACACGGCTTAAAGGCACACACCCTTTTTCCTTTTTTGCGTAGCTGCAAGCTAACAAATTAATCCACCTCATCCTTATCAAAGGGCACATCCAATCCCAAATAAAAGTAGATCATTCCGGTCCCAACAAAAGCAGATTACTTCTGACACTCCTTTTTCCTGGTGTTGAATTTGAGGTCATGTTTCAATGCATGAAAAGTTTATGCCTTAAAGTTTGGCACCACAATAAAATAAAATATGTATAGATTAAAATAACAAACTTCCTTTTTGGCCATCACCCAAATTTTCAGCTTCTGACATGAATAAACAATTTTAAAGTTTAACGCACACAAATTTGAAATTTATTGCACAATCGACACTTAAATCATTGGACATTGGACAATAAGTACATGTACATATATTTACACACAGTTGTATATTATTATTTGTGTTGATTTATGTATTTGTACAAGGACAAATGAATTTCGAATTGATTTGCTTGGTTTGTTTGGCGTGTGCTCCTTTTAGTACATGTCAAGCACGTCCTTCGTTCGCTTAAATCTTACCCATAAATCTTATTTGAAATTTGTAAATTTAATTAAATTGTGTTATTTGGTTAGCTTAAAGCCGTGTAACGGCTGCAATACTTTAATATGGCACTCACATTGTTACCGTTGTTACTGCTTAATACCTATGACTAGACTTGAAAAACACATTAGCATCATTTTAAATAGATATATACAAGCTCAAGAACTAAACGATCATCAACTGTATATAACACAATATAACTTAAAACTCTTTCAACATTCAATTCGCCAAGCAATTTTGAGGTGGGTGCTTAAATTGATAGTTTTTAATTTTTGTTCGAATTTCGATTTGGAATTAAAAGTGATTTATAAACAACATTTTACAAGATGTTTCTCTTCAAAGTTTTTCTACTTGCATAAAATATTTTAGTTTCTTACATTACTTTCAATTATAAATTCGGCAAGCAATTTTGAGGTGAGTGCTTAAATTGATAGGTTTTGGCTTTAGTTCGTATTTCGTTTGTGGATTAGGAGTTAAAAGAGAATTCAGCAAACGAAAATCTCGCAATTTTGCCTCTGCAAAGTGGTTCTACTTGTATGAAATATTTAAGTGAATTAGAGTTCCAAAATATATTAAATTATGCTGTATGCTGTTGGTACTCGACTTGACCTGTAATCTCCGTTGGGGGCTTGACCTGCACTTAGTTTAATAACGACTCCTGTTGACGCTGTGCCAGCTGCGATGCCTTCAGAGGACCAAACTCGCCCAGCGGCGCAAATTCATAGCTCGACATATCATTGTGAGAGACGGCCGTGATGGGTGCTCCATTTGTGCCACCATTGGGCAGGGTCGTTATGGTTGTCTCCTGCAGCCGACAGCTAGATGGGAATGATGGGATACAGGATTGGTGGCATAAGAATCTCCTAGTTGTACACACCTGGCACAGCCATCCATCCACACTCACCTGCGCTGTGTATTTGTGCTCTGATAGCAGGAGTGCCGCGACTGATAACGCTTGGAAGCGGTGCTGGTCAGCGATGTATCCCGATGCATGCAAAATGTGTCGTTGTTGCGTTTCTTGCGCCGTCCACTCACACCACGACAGAATAGATATCTGTATGGGATTGAAATTGGGATTGGGATTGGGATTGAGTGGTCGTTGTCGCTGATGCAGTTCAATTCAAACGGAAATCATTTTTCATGCATAAAATGAATTTTAATGATGTTGTGTGAGTGGATCAGTTCCAGAAATTTCAATGATTTTTGATTGGATTTTTTGGCAAGCAAATTGTGATTTCAATTCAAGCAAAACATTTTATACTAACTACCAAACAGTTTGCAAATACATTTATTGCGAATTGGCATTGTGGAATGTACTTCAGTTCCTCCATTGAACATGTGAACTGCAATTTAGGCATTTGCTTTCAACTTTTCATGCTTATTTCGTGGCTTCTTTCACACAAATTCCTTTACATTTCTCTCATCTAAACTTCTTGTTCAGTTTCTCCCCAAAGCCCAATTGAGCGCCAGATAGATAACAAGCCACGCAGACAAAATTCCATCAGAATTGCAATCAAAAATCATCTCAAGTTTCTGACAACAATTCCAACTTCTGAGTATGAAATGTGAGTTTGTTGTGTGTCAGGGTGAAATGCATTTATAGTGGCGAGGTAAATGTTGTTAGTTTGTGTTGCGTTTTGTTATTTGTAAGTTGTAAGTTACAAATTTCAGTAAACAGTTATTTACATTGTTATCGGTAATCGGTTATCGATTAACGCTATCATGCTGCTATTCTGCTGCATTGATGTGAATGAACAAATACCTATTGAAATGCTTGCGAAACGCCCCGCTCACAAAGTAAAGGGCCACCGGATTGGCACAGCTGTTGGCAAAGGACATGCAAAAGCCAACTATACGCAGCACATGCCAAAACATGTTATAATCCTCCTGTGCAGTGGGCCTGTAAGTGGAAACAAAGGATATCTATGTAAATTCCGAACAGCAAATTCGACGAAGAGCTTAGAAATTTGCCATTAGATTAGAAAAATATAGCATTTAAATGAAAGTACCCTTGTATTATGAACAGAGTTGGAAAACAGGCAAAGTCATTTTCTGAAAGTATACAAATCTTTTAAATAAAAACGTATTTTCCTGTCTAGGAATGAATCTATTTTTTTTTAATATTAAAAAACAATTACTAAACAGGTTTAAAATAATTGAAACTGTATATCATTTGTTTTTTCATATTAATATTGCTATTTGCTCCTCAAAACAATGTAACAAAAAAAATTAATTCTTATTAATTTTTATGGCGATTGGCTAAGCTCTTAGCTCATATGTTTTTTTTCTGAGTGCATGTAATACATATGTGTGTTAACGTAATGGAGACAGAAGCCAGCGACAGCGACTTGTTCGAAATTGATTGACCAGGACAAAAGAGTCGCAACGAATGGTGTCCGCATTACTCACAGCAGACACATCTATCTGGCTGACAAAGTGGGCATCGATGGGCCGCCGTATCCGGAGCCCATCCACACATTCACATTCATAAATCCCATGTCGCACATCGCTGCTGCTGCTGCTGCTGCTGCTGCTGCTGCTGCTGCTGCTGCTGCTGCTGCTCCTCTCTTGCTGCTGGAATTGTGTGTGCTGGATAAAAGTCGACACTTACCAGTAGTAGAACCAGAGAAAGAAGACGTGATAGGGCAGAAAGCAAATACCAAAGATGACAACAAATGCCAACACCGTTACGGCAACTTTGCGACGCGCTCGAACCTGACAAAAAAAAAAAAAAGAAGCAAGAACAGCATAACAATAACAATAACAATAAATCTGTTGGATACAATTTTCATTTAAGGCGAAAATATGAAAATTTCTTTTATAGATTCAGCATGAGTATATAAATGTCTCTGCATATTTAACGATGGCGAGACTGAATTCGAACCACGGAAATATTCAATTTATTGCTATGTAAATATGATTCAATTTATTGCTTTGCCTTTAAATTGAGTAATAAATTCGATCAGCCATTGACAAATACATATGTTTAATGTTTTGTTACTTTGGTTTAATGTTCAATTTGACTAAAGAATAAGTGAGCTTCAAAAGTGAATTTGAGCATTTATTATCCTTGGAATAAGCCTGACAAGCTTCTTTTAATTCTGTGTTTCAAATCACGCACATGTTTATCACATCATAATGTCGTTCTGCATTCTAGCATCATCAATAATTGGGCGTTGACAATCAATCATTGTACTTATGCAATAATCACATGCTTTCACTATCAATCGCCATCAATTCAATCAATAATGAACTCACCTGCCTGACCGCACCCTGCATCTCCCCAGGTACATTGGCCGAGTACATCAGATGTAACGCAATGAGGACATAGAATGCTGCTATTACCACCAGAGGTATGGCGTAGTAGACCAAAAAGTGCAGCAGTACCATCAGCTTGGCATAGTTAATGCCCCAAGCATCCGGATACGGATAACAGATAACAATTGACTTCTCCTGATTAATGCCAAGTGGCTAATGAATAAAAATAATAACTGCAATAAGCAAACAAGTCAATTATATTCCTTTCAAACTGACTACCTTTAAATTGCTACCAAGTAGCGCTGGCAGACCGCAGATAATGGCCAACAGCCAAATGGAAACAGCTATGGCCAAGGTCATTCGAGTGGCCCGACGTCCTCCACCTAAGGGAAAATGCTTAAAGGTAAATTATTTAAATGTGTTATTATTTCTTACCATGTGCATGAAATTTGCGCAACGGATCGACAATGGCAAAATAGCGATCACTGGACAGAGCCGTCAGTGTGAAAACCGAGACGCCAATGGACACATCCTTCATAAATTCAGAGAGGCTGCACAGATAACTGCCCCAGGGCCAGTACTCGACCGCATAAACTGTGGAAACCAGCGGCACAGTTGTTAGTATAACCAGCAGATCTGCCAGCGCCAGGGAGAGTATGTAGCTGCAAGGAATGAGGATAAGAATTGGAAAGCCATAAATTGAAATCTGCATAATAATCTGCAGGATAAATGGTTGACAAACTTCAAGCTGCCACAACGCAAGAATATATGTATCATGGCTACTCTTTAGATACACCAGATGATACTTGAACTGGGGTCCTTCCAAGGGTCGCTGCTGACACGTGTGACACGTGTTACATCCTTCTTTGATTTATGTTGTCTTAACTTTTGGGCAAATTTGCGCGTCCTTGTCATTTTGGCCGTGTAGAAATTTAAATTTTGTCGTCTTGTGCCGATAAAATTGATTTATACGGCACTTTATTAAAAATAATTCACAAGTTGCCCAAAAGCACTTTTGTAATTTCTTTGGCTCACAGAAAACTAAAAATGTTTTCGCAACTCATTTCTTAAATTTAAATTGTAAAATGTTGATCTAACAAAAGACTTGTTGATTCAATCATTTGCAGATATGCATAGTTTAAGTCATATATTTACATAGAGAAAAAAGGACTGAGTGTAAATGAAATGATGTCGTCATTTCATTACCCATAATTTGAGAATGTTTTTAACCCTTAAAATGAAACGTGTCCATTTTCTTCTGTGTTACTACATATGAAATAACCTTTTGACTTTAAAGCTTATTACTTATGGCTATAAAAGTGTTTTATTTAATGACTATGCTAGCGGTAAAAGTTGTAAGACTTACGTCTATCGCGCAAAAATGTCATAAAAATGTTCACTCGTCTGTCCAAAACGTGATGAACATTTAATATGAAATGTGTTTTTAGACTCGGTTGTGTATTCCACACCAACCATTTTAGAACATGTAGATTTTTTGTATTAAATGGTAAACTAGTAAAACGCTTTTTCCGCAATTTTGTCCCACAACATTCCAATTAGATGAATTTAAGCATTTTAAAAAAGATGATTTTTTATGGTAGCCTAATTTGGCTCAGTTCTATTCTTAAGTTATGGATGAACTTGCCGACTACGATTAAAATGTTGCTGTATTTTAATTTGCTTTGGATTGAAATTTATATAAACTCAGTTAAGAAATCTTTCTACAAGTTCAAATATCTGTCTGAAAACTAGAAAGTTTATCTTGTTTGTTTCGAAATAATTTGTATATATACGAAAAAAATCCTTATTTCTGTGTACACAAATAAACATATAAATAATTGTTATAATTTAGAAAAAACTATATTTGAAAGAATATAATTTCTTTATACTTAACGCCAAAAGTATGGGTATTTTCAAAATTTCAGGGCGATATTTTCTCAGTGTAGGTAATTGTATGTCGGTCATCTGCGACAGCTGCAAAATGAATTGCATTTGTTCATTCTGAATAACAGATCCCATATAGTTATTGCCTTTACTTTTATGCCACGTCACTGTCAGTAATAAGTAAGCTGTATGTGGCATTTTGTTTGTGCAGCAACAAATTGCATTGCTACGACACCGCCCGATAAGCATCTGCCACCGAGAGTCAAGTTAAGTGCTTGTGCTACTTTTGGCTTTTGCTTCGCCTTCTCTGAATGAGATTCGGAGTCCTGGCCATGGTAATGTAATTTCAGTTTAATGCGATCAGTTGACATTTCTGGTTATCCTCCGCAAGCGTATGTTGTGCATATAAAAAGATATAGTTTGTGTGTGCCACACGTATTCGCCAAAGTGCATCCGTATTTGGCTTATTACGTTAGCTGGTTTTCGTGCCCTGGACCCATTGAAAATGGGCAATGGCTTAGTGCCAAATTATGTAACAGGCAGAGGGAAGCATATCCGATGCCATAAGGTATATGTATTCTTGCTCAGGATCGTCTGTATAAAAACACAGATCTCTGAGAATAAAGGAGCTAAACATTAAAAATGTTCAAGTTTGTTTCATTTAATTGTCCGCGTTTATCGAATATTGATACTTACCGATTACCGATAGCAATAAAAGCAATTATATTAACGACAGAACCTACCAATATTATTGATCAAATTTAAATTTTTCTTCATGATCGAATAAGAAACACCCTATATATATATATATATACATATATATATATATATATAGTCCAACACGTATTCTCATATTGATCGGACTACTATCAGCCCGTGTATATGTGAGAAAGGGACACAATGTATCTGTTGCGCCCCGATATCTAAAAATACGCGTTAGATACAAATGCATCTGTACCAGTTTGTATCAAGTTGATAATTTTACTGTGAATAAAAACATGTGAAAGAAGAAATGATAGCACTTTCACACATACTTAGAATTGAGAGTGCCAAACTTTTTAAAGAGAGACATTCGGCAATGAAACTATAATAACATATTGAGAAGTTGGGTTCACAGTATCTCGTAATTGAACTCAATTGACTACAACATTCTTACTTACTTCAGTTCAGTTTTTGGCAATTATTTCGCTTCAATAGATGCTCATTGAAGTAAAATAATTTAAACTCAGTATATTAGTTGGTAATTCACTTGACATTGACTCTTTTATCAGAGTTTCTATTGGATTGACGTCAAAACTGCCAGCAAGAAACATTGACGAGTGCTTTAAGAAAATATATATATAGGTAATCGAATAGTCAACAGTTTGCCAACAAAAGTTTTAAACGCAATAAGTGAATTGAACTGTGTTCTTTTAATTTCTATATATGTGCTGGGATTTTCAGAAATCATCAAAATATATTGTCATTATTTGCGTAGTATAGTCATAAATATTGGCTTAAGTCTTTAGAAACTCGACATAATATTAAAATCGCCCTGAAACCCAGAAAACATCAAATTTGTTTCCTTAAGTATTAAAGTCGGGTCAATTATAATCCGAAGCACAAGCATAAAATAATAATTTAAATGTATTTTCATGAATTTTCGATCAAAAAGGTACATAAAATTTAGTATAAATATCCACTTAGTTGCCATTTTAAGGATTGTATGCTTCGCTTTTACTACCACAAAAGCAATAAACTGGGAAAAATCGCTATTCAATATGCGGTTTCGTGACTAAGTTTCATTTAAAGCATAAATCTTGCGATTTTGTATGCTTAAAGAACATCAAAGTCGCACATAATAATGATAATGCAAGAATGTCTCTAAACTAAAGGGCATTAAACATTAATCACTAACAACATTTTGATTTATCACACGAAACTTATGCAAATGCATTTATTTTCCACATTTTCAACATCATCAATAGTTAATACCCTAAATTTGGTAGATTTGTCTGTGCTTTTGTGTGTATGTTTTTAGTAAAGAGAAAACCACACCATTTAGCACAAACCCCTTTTGGAGTGTAATTAGGTGTTTGGCTGCGCCACCTGACATTTGACTTTTAGCTTAATTACTTAATTAACCACACACAATTTACAAAACCACACACACCTGCTGCGCATAACTAAACTCAATTTAAATGTGCCAAAATAAAATACATTTTTCGACTATGGAGTACCCTTTAATCAGATATCTGAGCTGGCAAAAGAACACTTTTAAATAGAAAACTTTATCTCAGATTGTTATGCTATTTACATCTGGACAAAATCATAGAAGATCGGTTTACTATAACATACATCCTTCATAGGAAGAATCGCTCGGCAGATGATTACTTCTATAAACAAAATTTTATGTTTAATAAGCTATCCCAATTAAACTAAACACATAAGAGTATTGTAAAGCTGAAAGGAACAATCGCCTTAAGATAAATTCTTGGATATTGGACAACATATTTATAATTATCAGAATACTATATATATAGTAATAATAGAGTATAGAAAAATTTAGATGTAATCTACTAAGCAGAATCTTTGAAAAATACTTACGTATTAGGTACATTTCGCATCTGTCGCACGCTCAAGAAGACAACAATCAGTGTCCCATTGCCGAGCACGCCCACAACAAAAATGATGGCGAACAGAATCGGGACTATATAGGTCTCCGGTCGTCGGGCGTAAGGAACATAAGGTGTCTCGGTGGAGGATATGCTGCCATTTTCATCAAGGATCATTGTCTCGCTTGTTGTCGTCATGGCCAGCTCAAAGAGGACTCGCGTTGCATTCAGCGGCGAGAGAGTCGACTCCGATTCGTCCAAAATGCTGCTTATATCACTCAGTAGACCCGTCATCATGTCGAAATACTTATGTTTGTTTGCTGTCGTTTTTTATTTAATTTTTTTCGTTATCACAAACGGCTTTAGGTTAATCTATTAATTTAATTTCCGCTTTCCTGGTTTCCTGATACATTTTTTTTTTGAGGTTTTTTCTTTACTTCAAAGCGTTTTTTTTATACCCATCCGCTTTTTACAATATTCGCATTGATTGAAATTCAAAGTGATAAATATTGCAAATATTTTTGTTGATTTTTCGTTGCTGTAAGCTGCAAATATAACAATTTGAAATAAACGTATTGTTGATTATATACATTGTAGTTAAACAAATTGTAATTGGATTGCGGAGGCATAAAAAGCTCAGCTTTGAAAATGTGAAATTGTGCATTGAGCTTGCCGATAATATATATATGCAATCAGCATTAAAGAGATGATTTCAGTCTCCTTTCTTTGAAAATTCCAAACTTAAATATTTTAATTTAGCTAAAAGGTAGGATTTGAAAACTTATTAGCAATCTCTGCCGCTGCATTCAATGTTTTTAAGTTTTATTTATGCAGTTCACTAAAAACTCAAGTAGCTGTCATGTGTGTTTTAATAATATTTGGATAGCAGACGTGTATGCACTCTGACCAAAGTAAGACAGTAAATATATCCACAAAATTGTAACCTGGGCGAAAAGAGTGAATATGGCAAATGACGAATAGCGAATGGCATCATTCATATTTTTATGACAACAGAAGTCCGAGGCAAAGTTACGTACAGATTTCAATTTCCAAGAACCTTTTGCTGTCCTTTACACCCATCAGAGAAGTGAAAGCCGCAGAGAAAGAGAACCCACTGAAGTGAAGAACGTGGAGAATTATGCCATGGCGTCACTAACATTTTATGACACACTCTATGTGTGACTGGGTGTGCGAGTGTGTGTGGTTAATGGCTGGAAGTGAAATGACAGTATCCCAGCCAGTGCACTCCTAGAAAATGTCTGGGCCAACGGAAGCTGTGTGGTATAAGGATATCAAGTTGGATGAGCCATAATTCTGTAACTTGAAGTCTGCGTGAAGCCCATTTGCAATTAGCTTACAAAAGCACATAGCACGCATAATTTGTATAAATTTCGCATTGTTTGCTTTAATTAGAAGTTACTCTATTGTTCAAATTGAAAATCATACTTTTCGAGCACTTTGTTCTATTAATATTTTTGCAAGAAAGCTACCTGTAAAATGGCAGCAAAAGTGAAGAACTAAAAATAAATAAAAATATTAATTATTTAACCAGTAAATTTGATATATTTCATGTATAATTTTATAGTCAATATATTCTTAATTATGTACCATATTTAATTATTTTAATTTTCAATTTACAATTTAATTACTTCCTTTTAATTTTAAATAATTAATTTGTAACTATTGAACATTTTGAATTGTTTGTATTTGATATAAAAAAAAATCTCAAAAGTTCTTCTATTACTCCGCTCATTTACAGATCAGAATGAAGCTAGTTTAATTATATTTATCAAGGATTAAAAAACAATCTCAATTGTCTCAATTTTTTCAGAGTTCAGATTTAAAATTTTAAATGGCAAGTTTCATCACAGCGACGCTTAACATTTTTAAGAGGATATCCAGGAATCAAAAAGAATGGGTGTGTTTTGGGGGAATATTGTTGGATTTTCCCATGACTTGCTGCTTTTGTCTACTCGTCAATGTGGTAAGTCATGGCGCACAGCTAATTAAGTTGAGTTCCAACTAACTACCACATAAAAAGCTTTAAAGTACTGAGGCACCTAACAATGAAGTCAAAGTTTTGCCAAAATGCTGAGCTTCAAGTTTTGAAGGCAATTTGTGATAATAGATTGTATTTTTTTAAGTGGCATACATTTGTCCTCGTTGTGCACTTGATGATAAAAATTGATTTTTAATGAATTTATGACAGTCAGCTTATTCTTATTTCTCGGGCTGCATAAAATTACTATTAAGGACTATCACATTTAATTAGAGGCAATTAACTACAGACAACAAAAATGGGCAGCAAATGAATATCAAGTCTGTATGTGCTCCTGACTAATGGGTACCATCTGCTGAACTCTGGAGCAATATTACGATTGGCCACATTCGCGGCATTTTTGCTTAACAACTTTTTGCTAATAAATAAAAGTCAATTACTCAGAATCAATATAGTTAAATATCCATCTAAGTGCTATAATATTCTGTTTGAAAATATATTTCCTCAAATCGAGTTGATAAATATAAATTATATCTTAAAATAACTTGCTTGACATACAAAGGACACTGAAAGATTCATTCACACACTTTATACTTATACACATTTCAAGTGGTTCCTTTGGCAAATGTGCCAAATTTACAAACATTTACTCAGACTTCGCAATTCCAGTTACGAGGCTTCTCTCTCTCTATATTTAGGTTTATCTTTTGAAATGGCAGGTAAATTGAGTTTTCGGAAATGCGGCAACTAATTGAAATGTAAAGTCTTGCAACAGAATTACAAATGTAAATAATGTAAATTGGATGAATGTGAACGCTGGAAGTGACTTAAATAGTGCAAAGTTGTCGTCTTTGATTTTGGGTCCTGGCTAATTAAGTGCTTTGCAGCTGCATTGTTTCAATTTCAATCAACTTTGCTAAAGTAGAAAATTTCAGTTCGTCTGTGACATGATGGAACCTTTGATAAAGTTATTTGTTGAGCAGCTAAATGTCAACATTGTTGTCCCATTGTTTGCCGTTTTCGTAATTAATTTGTTAACACAATGCTTGGCCAGCTCTTCAAGGCTATCAACCCATACACCCATACATATTTATATATGTACTGCTTATGGGTATAATTTGTTTGTGATTCGCTTAGCTAATTGAATTTTACAAACTGCACGGCATTCAAATTACATAAATCATAAGTTTCAGCTTCATAATTGGAATGAAAAACAGGGTATAACATATAAGAGCGCACACTACCCTTGCAGAACGGACTGTATAGATAATATTAATTTTATTTTATATTTATATAAAAAATACTATTAACTTATTGAAAAAAACAGCATATAACAACTAATAACTATGATTACCTACCCTTGAAAATGGAGTATATAACAAATATATATTTGACTTTATTTTTATATTTAAAACCCATATATTGTTCTACAACTGCTATTTGATATAGTAACCCAATGTTATTAAGTTTTTGTTCACACAAGAACAAATCTTTTGACCAATAGTTCCTATGACTGTTATTATATAAGATAGTTGATATATACTTTATGGCATCAGAAGTTTATTCGGAACAAACGACAAAATAAAAATATCCTCTGCAAAGGTATAAAAATATATTCGCTTGACGATTTAATTTGATAAATAATTTTTACCATAATTCTGTTAGACAGACAGACTCGTCTATTTTTGGTAGCAGTCCCATTAAGACCAACAAACAAACCTGTTAGCCTGTATCAATAACGAGCTTAAATCGCTCCACGCCAAAACCAAAAAAAAAAGAAAAAAAGTGCTTTGATTTATGACATGCTTGCTGGGCGGGAAAAGGTTCTCGTTTGCTTATCTGGCGACCATCTGGATGCCAACGTATTTATGGACTCCCATCGAGTGTCTGCACAGATACACCCACATACATACACACTATGACAGACACACACACACACTCACTCACATACGCATCAACACATGCTCACATGACTGAGTTGATTTAATAAATCAATGCAATTTATCAAACAGTTCACTTAAAATCTGTCGCATGTATTTTTGGGGCACACGCAACTTTTATCTTAACACAAACAGTCCGCAAATATTTCATGTTCACGACTGCGAATCTTATCTGTCAACCATTGTGGCTTAGTTCGTTTCCTAATAAATGCAGTTAAGTCATTAGCTCTTCTCTCTAAACAAACAAAAGCATTCCCAAAAATATTTGGTAATAAATTACCAGCATTTTACAGTCGTAAATGTATGTGAGCTGAAATACTCCATGAAAAATGTTTGAAGGCATATATATATCTAAACGATTCCTGCTTTTTAGCGGGGTGCAGACACACAAAGATTTGTGACTGGCCATTTATTTTGCCATACGTAATTGAATATGGCCAGAACAAGTAAGAGGTTCTTTATAAAAAAAAATGAGAAGCTTTGTAATGCCAAATGAGTTTTTAGGAATAAATATAAATAATATTAAATTTCATGTAAATAAATTAAGAGAGCTTTAACTAAAGTCCATTTATTACATATACATTTTCGAGTAAAGGATATGAAAATGCGCAAGGTAAAAAAATATATGAGAATGTTTTCGAATATAATATACATATTTGATTAAAATATGAATCTTTTTTTATTTTATTTAAAAATATATTTTCTATAAGAATCAATTAATATTTTATTCAATTCAATAACAATTTTATTATTTTATTTAATTTACACATATTTTTTCTATTTAAAAACATTTGTAAACTCGTTTTTTTTATTTTAATTAAAATATTATATTGCTTGGTGACCTATGCCTAATTACATTTAACATATTTAAAATTTGTTGGTTTAAACTTATACATTCTAGCAGACAAAACTAATGCTTAATGTTTATCTGTATGATTTCATTGTCAGCTTTTCAAAGTTAACTAACTGTTTAGCAGATGATTTTATAACACTCAGATGCACACTCCAAGCCACAGATAGACCCTTAATCTTACTTAATTACATATGAGGCAGACAATTGCGAATTCACTTAATTGCGAGCACTTCAATTTGCGTATAAGTATTCACCGAGATTCTGATTCGCAGGGCAGCTCTTAGTGAGTACCATATAAAGCACATTTTAAAGCGGCTTTCAGGCCATTTGAAAACATAGTTCCATTTATAGTACGTATTTGTTGGCATTTCAGCTGTCTATTTGCGGCTAAATGGAGTGTATGGTTTATCTTCAGCTCTACGGCTTTAATCTGATTTCGCAGTCTGCGCGTGGATTTAAAAAAAGATTTGCGCAAAGATGGGTAGCAATGTGCGACATAAAGTGGAAAACGTGGCCATTATATCTATAATTTATATAACGACTAAAGCATTATTTGTCATTGCCTAAAAGTATGCTTTAAAATTGCTCGCACCGGATATCGAATGTCTACGCAAAAATGCGAGAATATTTCTGTTTGAGGCCCTCAACGGCGATAGTCTTACCATAAAACATTCATCTACAAGAATGTAATTTTGTTCAGAGATTTTTCCGCATAAAAATGCAATAAAAACCAACTAAAGTTGTGCGTTGTGT